TCATTTAAGTTGAAATTTTCCTGGTTCTTGTTATGAACGTGATTTTTTTTATTGTATCTAGACATTTTGTGCATTTTATTATGAGGCCCTGGATATTTTAAATATATTCCGTTTAGAAGACTTCCTCTGAAATCACATCAGTGGGAGAAAAAAAGTCACTCTTTCATTACTGATAGATGGGGAATAGAAATCCAGGTCTCCCACTCAGCCTTCCTTGACACCCAAGAGGTAAGGGGTGCCACCTTGCTGCTGAGAAAAGGAGAAGTTTCAGCTCTTCAATAGGCCTCTGATGACACCACCCTGGCTGGGAGGAGGAGTGGCACCATTTTCCTGCTCCCCATGTGGCCTCCACTGACATCTCTGGGTGGGGAGATGACTTGTTACTTCTTGATGGTAGTGAATGCTCTGGCTTCTTTCTCATCCTCCACTGACACTGGCAGGTAATGGGAGGAGTGTCTTATTATCACTGGGTATGGGTGGAATTCCAGCCAGTCACTAGGCCTCTACTGAGTGCTTGTTACCATGCTTGCTGTTAGGGTAGTGATAAATGTTCCAAGTTCCCCATTTGATCTTCTCTGATACCACCCTGGCAGGAAGGGGAGGGATACCTCATTACAGCAAGGCAAGGGTAGAAATCTTGGCTCCCCACATTGCCTTTATTGACAGGGATGGTGATGGGGCCACAGTTATTTCCATGATGTAAGGCAGTTATTATCTAGAAGATTTCTATCTTGCTAGTTTGCCTCTTTCCTTGTATTTTGGCTGGAGAGAGCAGGTTTTTCTTGGGGGCTTTATTGGTCTGTGCTCATTGGCATTTCTGTGTTGCTGGCTTTTCTCTCACCTAGTCTGAGATATATGTGACAAAAAGAAAACCCAGGGAACTCTGCTGTATCATTCCTCAGGTTCTGTAGCCCCTAGGTAATCTGCCTTCTTCTCTACACCTTTCAGGGCCTTCTCATATTTGTTTTATATATAATGCCCAGTGTTATTAGCTGTATTTAGGAGTAAAAGAGAAATGCATCCGTTCCTCCTTGGTCTGTAACTTGAAGCCTTTAATTGTTTTTGTTAAGGTAAGTTTGAATGTGGCTTGATTTTGCAGCCTGTAGACTTTGCCCAGGAAGTTGACATATTGTAAGTCATCTGTATTTGACCATAAGTTTATACTTGATCCTGTACTTAGGATTATTTGTAGAGGATCATTTGATACAGATTATGAATAATATCAATTTCAACCCAAAAAGGTAAAAAGTATGGCTTAAGGAAGACCAATAGTCCTATAGAGGCTCATCTCTCAGCTTCTGCCTGCAGATGGGGAGGCAAGAAACAGACAGTTGGAGGAAGTTTTAAAAGGGCCTTTTAGCAGAGTAAAAAGATTACTTGTAACCATGATAAGGAAAGCAATTGGTAGGAGAGAGCATTTTCCTATAGGGCAAAGCTTATCAACCCTGGCTACTCATTAGTATCACCAGGGGATATTTTTAAAAATCTATATCCAGGCTTTACTCTAGCACAATTAAGTCAAAATATCTAAGGATGAAGACAACACATCAGTATTTTTGAAACTCCCCAGGTGATTCCTACTGGCTCTAGCCTTTATCCTTTCTCTTCATGCTCCAGGGACAAAAGGAGACAAGATAGACAGATAAAAAGAGGCTTGTCTGACCTTGCAGCCCTTCTCACTTTTTGACCTCTTGAGAGACAGTGCTGAATAGAAAGTCTCTTAGCTTCCCACTGGGGTCAGACCTGGCAGAAAATGTATATCCATGCTGGCTGCAGGGTGAGGGTCAGGGAGCTGGTGGGAAGGGAAGAGTATAGGCTTGGTATGGTGGGCAACAACATTATCTCACTCATATCCAAGTATAAGGGCCTTATTTTTCTCTCCATCCTTTTTTCTTCCAAAGAGGGTTGTTTTCTGGAACAGATATGCCAGAAAACCAAAATTCTGTTGTCCAGCAAATGAAGATTTCAAGGTATCACAGAGACTCCTACCCTTGCTATTCACCCCTATATCACTGAGTAATTTAAGTCCAGTCACTTTTCACGTCTGGACCTCAAATTTTCTCATCTACAAACTGGGGATGGTAATCCCTGCCTTGCCCACTTCAGGGTCTGTGTAAAGATCCAATGAATGATGGCTGTGAAAACACATTGAAACTGTAAGTGCAGCACCCATATATATGGTAAATTCCAGCATTCCCACTCTAGGATAACTATGCCCTATCCAGAGTCACAGTTTTTACAAATTAAGTCACATCCAACATTTTGGACTATGTAGATTGCTCCAAAACAAAGGACACAGTTGCTTCACTCATCTGAGCACTTTTTCTTCCAAATATGACCCACTGTGAGACAGTGAGCCTCAGCCCAAGTGGCCTATTATGGGCATAAAGGAGACTTAAAAACAATCCGTCATGCCCACTTCTGAGCCCTGAGGTTCTCATCTCCCCTGTGCCATTAGCCATGGAGAGAGAAGTTCCATTTCATTCTGAGAAGCCTGTGAAACTGATGGTGAGTGCTCAGAAACTGGTTGGTGTTTCTCTAAATCAAGAAACCACCAATGGCCCTAGGGCCAGGCTTCAATGAGAGTCTTAGGTCCTCAGTGTCCCCCACTAGATCTCAGAAGCTCTGAGCTTTGGATTTGGCCCTGTGGATCTAGAGACTCAGCCTTGGGCCTTAGAAAGCAAGGCACCAAGAAGGGAGAAAAAAGGTAAGAGTAGAAGAGAAGTAAAAATGAAAGGAGCTTTTGGAAGTACTGTTTTAAAGATCAAAAAGACACTGTATTGAATCCCCACTAAAGAATGGTAGAGAACTATATGTGGGAAGTAAGACCCTGGCAAATGGGCTTGCTCCAGAGCCATCACAGCCACAGAAATCTAGGAGATGAGTGGGGAATTAAGGTGTCAGGCATCTCTTAAGATGTATGTAGGGGTGTGTGTGCACGTGTGTGTATGTGTATTGGGGAGGGGGCGGTGTAGAAGAGCCAAAGGGAGAAGGGTTTGATTTTGTCCTTAAAGTGCCAGGTAGATGTATCAATAGAGTACTAAGTGGCCCCTTCTTCAGGTCTACTTGGCCAAAGATGCAGGCAGTAAAACTCTACCTCATTTATTGTCATCCCCTCCCCTCTTCTCTATAATCAAGCTGAGCTAGGAACCTGTCTGATAGTTCCATGGCTCTCCAGGCTAGCTAGAATAGGAAAGTAGAAAATGCTGCAAGTCAGTCTTGGGAAAATGGTGAAGAATCAATCTTCTGGTGGGATGGGATAGGATGTGCCCCATCCATAGAGTACTGGCTGTTGTGGACACCACATCCCAGGCTCCTGCTGCTGTTGTGGTGTAGGGACAAGGCAAGAGAGTCCAGGGAGAACAACTCAGTAAGGCTGCCAGGAGCCCAGGAGACTAGAGAGGGGTCAGAGCAAGTTAGAAACCTGTGGGACAATCTCACTGGCTCCATCCTCTCCCCAATCCTCAAAACAAAAAACATGATTTAGGTCAATGGTTTAGGATACAATAGCAGAAATATATCACCCAGCTAGGGTGATGACAGTTCTACCCTATTCTATACCGGTGAGACCATTCCTCGTGAAACTGGGTTCAATTCTAAACCCCACATACTTTAGAGGAACCTAAAGTGATACTTTCCAGAGAGGAGATGCTATCTTCAGACATCTTCAGGGCTATCACAAGGCAAAGGAAGCAGATGAGGTCTGTGTGGTCCAAGGAACAGAGGTAGGTCCCATGGGTGGGTATTACAGGGAGACAGAACGTTTTTCTTTACATTGAGCTTGAATTCACCAGTCATAACTGTTGGGCAGTAGTGAGCTCTCTGACACTGCAAGTATGTCAGCAAGGATAACACAAACACTTGGTGGGGATATTATAAAAGGGACTCAGGCATGGATTGGACAACTTGGAGGGAAAGTTGCACTAGATGACCTAAGGTATCTAGGCTGACTGGTTTGATAGCAGTCTTGGCTTTCATCTACATATTGTTCACCTTTTCTTAGGTAGGATGTAGGGAAGAAGTCATTGGGAAACTTGGACAATATCTTAGCTGGATAATATGGTAATGGGTGCTAAAAGGTAGTTGGTTAGTTGCAAGTTAGGAATCTACCCACCCTCCTGCCTCGTAGTGCCTCATACTACTTGAGCCTTTGAAAAAGTAACCTTGGCTATGGAATAGTCACATTGATAGAATGGGACAAGCTCTGGATTGGAACACCAAAATCTGAGCTTTAGTCCACTGATTTGCTCTATGACTTTGAGCATATCACTTTCCCTCTCTGTGTCTCAGTTCCTGTCTCTATAAAATGAGGCTTTCAAACCCTGTCCTGCTTACCACAATAGGGTGTTATGAAGATCTGATGAATGTAGTGGATGTGGAGGGATGCGTAAATTGTGACTGGAGGTGGGTGAGGGGAAGAAAAACTAACATTGTTTAAACATCTTTAATGCATCAGGCACTGTAAAAGGGACTTGCACATACACTTTTCGTTCAGCTCTCACGGGAATTTATGAAGTGAGTAGTACTTTCTACTTTGTACAGATGGAGGACCCAAGGCTCAGAGAGGTGAAGTAACTTACACAAGGTTCACATAGCTATTAAGGAATGGAGGTAGATTTGAAATATAGGGTTGCCAGATGCTAGGAGTTGTATATTTTTCCACTGTGCCATGGTGCTTGTACACCTGAGGGGAGATAGCTGAATATGACTATTAGACAGTGGGGCCCTGAGAGAGCTTTTAAAAGGCCAGAATAGAGAGACTGGTGTCATGTCAACTTGTCCAGTTCGTTGACAACTGTGAGCCCAGAAATGTGATGTCTGACTGACTGGCTCAAAAGATGAGCAACACCACTGTTGCCCCTCCATCTGCCAGTGCTCCTAGCTTGCTGTTCCTCTACACCAAGCCCTGTTGAACAACAGTACTCCAGAGGAGGATTCTTTGGAGGTGGTCTCCAATTTCTGGTCTTTCTGCCCTACCTTTCCAGCTCTCCTCAGTAGAGTTAAGGGCTGGGGACTTCAAAAGGCACATTGAGCTCCAGACTCTCTCCAGAGCTTTCAGCTGTGCCCCCACCCCCAAGGTCTCAGCTCCAGTATAGGAGGCAGAGCTGGAAAACTTTTGCAGGTCCAGCTCTGTGCATTTGATGCGAGTGTGGACCCAATGGGAGTGGCTCTCTGAGGTGCAGGAGGCCATGGTAAAAGACTCCTGTGTGGGGAAGTCATGAGTCGAGTTGCAGTCATCATCCAGGTTGGGGTTGAGTGGCTGGGTTTCAAACATGCTTTTACTCAGTGCGGACTCAGGACTGGTCTTCTGGCCAGGTGCTAACGGAGAAGAGAGATTCCTCCTCCACTGCCTCGTCAGCCTCAAACTGCAGCAGACATCCTGCAACTTGAAGCAGAAAGCCACTGGGTCACCCAAAGACAGGGGCTTCTCTCAGTGGGGCATCTGATTCTCAGCACAAGATGGGGAAGGGTCTGGGAGCTAGAGCTCTGTTTTTACTCCGTAGGGACCACAGCACCTAGCACCAGGCTGAGGTGACACAGTTGAGAAACATACTTACATTGGGGTATCCGATTGAGGCTACCTGGTGGCGGATCAGGGAGAAGAGTCAATTTCTCCAGAGAAAGAGAAACCCTTTGTGGGAAGCAGGATTTTGACACGCTCCAAGATGATCTTCATTCCCTTGTGTTATGCCTGTGTATGTTATATGGTGAAAGTCATTTGGCAGATTTAATTAATACTATAGACCTTAAAATAGAAAGATTATTCTGGATTACCCAAGTGGGCCAGATGTAATCATATGTGTCCTTAAAAGCAGAACAGGAAGGCAGAAGAGTCAGAGAGATGTGATATGAAAATGACTTGACCAACCATTGCTATCTTTGAAAATGGAAAGATGTCATAAGCTAAAGAATGTGGGGGGTCTCTAGAAACTAGGAATGGCCCTTAGCTGACAGTCACCAAGGAAATGGGACCTTAGCCCTATAATTGAAAGAAACTGAATTCCTCCATCTTCTTGAATAATCTAGGAAGTGGATTCTCCCCTGGAGCTTAAAGAAAATAATGTGGCCCTGCCAGCACCTTGATTTTGGCCTTGTGAGACTCTAAGCAGAAATCCAGCTGAGCCTACCAAGCTTTTGACCTATGGAAATGATGGGATAATAAATAGATGTCATTTTAAGCCCTTAAATTTGTGATGACTTGTTATGATGGTGATAGAAAAGTAATAGTCCTTCATGCATAAGTCTGATTCAACATCAGGTTACAAACTGAAAGCCTATGGGGTGTGTATTTGTTTCACTTCCACATCATAGCTGTGGTTTTGGTTTTTGTTAGAACTCATTGCCAGAGCTTAAAACTATGTCATACAAAATTCCAGATTTTTGGCTTCTCTTGAAAATTCAGAAGATCTTGAAATACTGAATATTCTCACATGGTAACAAACAGCTGGAGCTTAATGGTAGATTCCCCTTTAGATAGGGGATGAACTTTTCAATTTGCCACAGATCCTATTCCTCTCTGTTGCATCTTATTGGATCTAATTCACATATTAATCTCGCCTATACAACCCTAGTATGCATGTAAGTCAGTGATTCCTAATAAACACCTTCCCAAAACGAGAAAATGTCTAACTCTCTTTCCCCTATGGAGATCCTGAGGGATCTGTCTGCCCTCATATCCCCAGAGAAAGGTACTGAATCATTATCTTGAGGACACAGGATGAGCAGAGAAGGGTTATTCATTTCTCATCTCCTGAGGCAGGAGGAGGGAAACAGGCAGCTCTCAGATGTTGCCTTATCTTCTGTCTGGGCCCTGAGCCCCAAATGCTTCATTGCCCGCATTTCATGCCCATGCCCATGGAATGGGCAACAGCACTTATATGAGAAACTGGCCTTCAAGGTCAGAGATGGATGATCTACCCTGAGCCACAACGTTTCAGGAGCCACTAAAGTGTAGAAGAGAGAGAAGTAGAGTTTGAGAAGGATCATAAAGGGACAACAGTGTTCCCTCAGCTCCCTGCAGCCGACAAAATGCTAGATTAACTTCCCCTCAAGCCAGAGGTGTGGCAAAACATATCTTCTAGGCTTTTTGAATATCATCTGGCACACCCTACAGCCAAACTGACCAAGGCAGATCTATATAAGAAGGATCTTACTACACAAATAGAGTTTAAAAAAAGTTATGCTGTTTTGGGCCCAGTATACAGTGGCCTGAGGAAGAATACTGAGCACTCATGTATATAGTACTTTATGCTCCCCCTTCCTTATTAAATTAACTCCATTCATTAGCCTGGGTTCCTGTTTTGATGTCTCTGCCTAGCTCTCAGTTCTCTTGATGGCAATGAAGTTGCACTGAGCCTCAGTACAATTGGCTAGAGTTATAACCCCTTGCCCAGTCCTGGCAAGCCACTATCCCACCTCCTCCATCTTTGCCTTCAGTGACCTGGACTTTCTGTTCCATCTTGACTAATGGCTGGAGTTTTACTGAAAACAGATCACAATGTTACTCCTGATTTTAAATACGACCTTCCATCTGGAATTTCACATGACCATCACCTATGGGCTGAGCCAGGCCCCTTTGGGTATCATTATTGTTTGGGGGAAAAAGTCTAGGTTTGCCAACTCCTGTGGACACTGGGCTCTCAGTTACCCACATTTTGGATGTTACCATACTGATAAAAGTTGCCTAAGACCTCACCTACTTTTATTACAGTCATATCTCAAATACAGCCAGCCTTCCTCCGTTTCTGATATGTTCCAGAATCTATACCTATCAGTAGAAATGAAGAATTGGAAAAGAACTAAGAAACCAATAAACCAAATTCCATCTCTTATTTTAAAGATCAGGGAGAAAGAGGCTCAAAGAAACTAGATGACTTGTCTAAAGTTGCACAGTGATTTAGAGGTAAATTTAGAACCTAGGTCTCCAGAATTCCTTTCCCAAGGATTTTCCAGTGATGTTATGTTCCTTTATGAATCCCTGTATGTTAATGAACCAGGTCCCATAAACTAGCAGGTTTGGTCTTGGTCATCTCTGAAGTCCAGTGCTTTCTATTGCCACCTCCAAATAGTCCACTCCTGGGATTTTTCAGCACTGTAGGGAAGGCCCATTATCTCTCAACCCCAGAAAATTTCTCTCTTTTGATAATTAGGGCCTTGCTCGTGATTCATGTAATACGTGAAGCAGCTATTCTTACCATGCTGGAAATGTCTGTTAAAGAACTGCTTGCAGTAGAAGAACAAGAGCCCCAGGAAAGCCAGGGTAAACACCATGAGGAAACTGCTCACCAGTGCAACAAGTGTGGCCTTCTGAGGGGGAACCGTGGGTACATCGGCCTCCACTAAGCTCAACAGGAAGGCACCTGTGAGACAAGAAAGTGGGGGAGGTCAGTCAGTGTGGGCAGTCAATAATCACCCTGACACTGGGCCTGGACTTCTTCAGGACATTGCCTCTACCTAGAGCCTTCCTCAATTAGGCCTGCTAACCTGGTTTTACTTCTTTGTAGAGCAAGCTAAAGTATGAAGAACAAAGCAGAGGAACTCATATACTGCCATATAAATTAGTACAATTATTTGAAGATACACATATCCTATGGTCTCTCCATGTTACATCTAGTTATATAACCTAGAAAATGGAAACAAACTAAGATGTTCATCAGTATGGCACAGGATAAATAAGTCATGGTATAATCCTATGATGTAATACTATAATATATCGCTTAAAATAAAAGACCTGTGTGGATCAATACAAATAACCCAGAGGGGAAAAGCAAATTTTAGAAAGAGAGTATATACCTTGATATTTATATAAAACATAAAATAATAACATATCTTGCCTATAAATATATACATACACCAAAAAAGAATACAAATATTAAAACACAGGTGGAGAGTATGGCAGAGTCATAGTGGGAGTGGAAGTAATGTGTCTTACTTGCAGACTGAAGTAGATAAGATGTAGTATGTTTCTTCCATTGCCTCTCCTGTCCCTTAACCTGGAAGCTACATGGTCTAGATGGTATAGTCACAATATGGAAGAAGGACTTTGCATAGTGAAAAATAAACTTTTATTGTATTAAGTCACTGACATTTGTGTGTTTGTTACTGTAGCATAGCCTACCAACAAGATACATACAATTTTGTGATAGTGGTTGCCTCTAGGGAGAGGAGCAAAAAGAGAATTCCATTAAACCTGTGAAATCTTTGTTCCTTTTAAAAAAATCTGAAGCAAATATGCAAAATGTTAAGATTTATTAATTCTGGAGGTTAACTGAGCATTTATAATTTTTTTTGTATTTTAAATATTTCTACATATTTGAAATATTTCATGATTTAACAAAATCAATAATTTAAAATGAATAAGTAGACATATATGTAGATAGATAATGATAGATAGACAGACAGATAAATGGATAGTGATATGGGCATAGATTCGATCCTACTACTTCATTCAGGCTTTTACTAGTCCCAAGCACTAGGGACTCCTATAAACCTCATATAATCATCATCATCATCATCATCATCCAGAATTGTACAAATGTTATAAATTATAAAGTGCTTTATAAATCTTGTATTTCATCAGACCTAGACAACCATCACATAATGTATGAGGAACAATGATTTATATATTTTTTCAGATGAAGGAAATGAGGTTCAATGAGTTTCTATGATTTGCAGAGGGTTACACAGTTACACAATACATTGTGAAACCAGGATTCAAATTTAACTGATTCCTTTGCCAATCTACTCTACAAGAAGGACTATGAGGGGGTAGAGGAAGACTTTACTACCCCATCTTGCTGCTACCCATTGGGTTGGGGAGGAAAGGACAGAAAAGAACTGGATACACGCACTGAACCTCAGAGGTGGGGATTTGCTTCATGCATGGAATGCACCCTTGGTCCTGCAGGCCTCCAATGCATGTCTTTTGGTGGAATCTTTGGTCAGAGTAATAAGGAAAGGCAAGGTGATTAAACAAACAATGCACTTGGACTGGTCCTTCCTGAAACCATAGGTAGCTTGTAAAAGTCTTGCCCTTCTGACAGCCAGAACCTACCACCACCCCTAATAAGTTCTCTGTCTCTATGTCTGTTTCTGACTTAGAGTCCCAGGCGCTCCACAATTTCGCCTGTTCACCATACCCTATAGCCAAAAGGGGGAATAGTCTTACAAGGGAGGGGAGCAGTGTTTTGACACCAACTGCTTGCTAATTTCTTTTAGGTTTGCAGTGAGATTTATCTTGAATCTTGGGCTTGGGCTGAGCATGCCAGCATGATGAAAAAGCTGTTAGGTACTCATCTGTGGCAGACCATGTACTAGACACTTTACGGGGGGATCTTGGGAAGACACTGCTACTTCCTCATGAGAACTTAAACTTATCATGATATGGACAGAATACTTCAGCTAGGCTCTTAGAGGTAAGGATGAGAGAGACCTCCAAGGGCTATGGAAGGCCCAGAAGACTTTGGCCTCATACAGTGGGCTAACCTGGAAACACAGTCCCCACAGACAGCATTAGAGGTAGCTGTGCAATTGACCTTCAGGACATGATTGATGACAGCACAGGTGATACAAGTCTGACATCTGTGGTGGCCCCAGCTGCTTTTCTATCTGTGGGCAGGCAAGGCTATGAGGTAGGCATCTCCACCTTCTCCATAACCACAATCCTGTAGAGAGATGGGAGTCATTAATATTGCTCTACAGGAACTTTGAGAGAGGATCAGTTATGGGACAAGTGGACACTACATAGTGTAGTATTTTACAAACTTCAAGTTGCAACCCATTACCAATTTATGAAATCAATTTACTAGGTTGCAACCAGCATTGAAAATTGAAATAAGAGAAAATAAAATAACAACATCAAATATCAGAGTGCACAGCATGTACTAAAGATAGGTATTTATATCAGTCAGCATAGACTAGGCTATGCTATGGCAAAAAGCAAACTCTAAATCTCGGTATCTTCAAAGAAGAAAAGTTTACTTCTCACTCACACTGTTTGCCTACTAGAGCTTTCCTGGGGGCTGTGCTTTACATTATCCTCACTGGGATACCCGGGGTGACAGAAGCTTCATTTTTGTGCTTCTATGATTGGAGCATAAAGGAAAAGAAAACATTATGAACTGTGCACTGCCTCTTAAAGTTTTTCTCCAGAAATGACTGATTTCACTTGGCTAACCTGTCCTTGACCACACATATCACCTGTTCATTAATAACTACGAGAGTAAAAGAAAGTGCAATTCTACAATTTGCTTGAAGGTGGGGAGCTGGAAATACTTGACAAATAGCTGTAATCACCACCTACCTCAGTATTGTTTTGTGAAACTTTTACAGATAAAATATAGGTAAGTATGTGTTTGGTTGTGATGAAAATTTATTTCTTACTCTTGGTCAGTGGTCAAAAATGTTTGAATGCCAGCGGAGCAAAATGGCAGGTGAGCTGACCTGGGGCTCTCTCCCCTCCAAACTACAACAAAGGATTGGAAAAACTGAATTTCAGCCAATAATCCTAATGCCAGACTGTCACAGAACTACAGAAACAAAACCACAGAGGATGGAGATGTTGCAGCTGGCCTCGGAAGAGCTGGAACGGGGTAGGAGAGAACTTCGCTCCCTCCTCTAGAGACTGGGGTCACTGCTGAGGGTGTGGGAATGAGCAGGGGAGGGGTCGCATGACTGGGGATTGTCCAGGACTCCCGCCGCCAGTGTAGTGGAAACCCACTGACAGGGGAAAGCTTCCGTGCACGGGGACCTCATCATGCCAGGGCCCTGGGAGACCACAGAACGGTAGCGGATCAGAATCCAGATCGGCGCACGAGAAAAAGCTCACCTCCTCCCTGCCGACCACGCTTTGTGCTGCCATCTTGCCCAAAGGCAGAGAGCTCAGAACTCGCAGCTCTCGATCCCCATCTAGTGGCAACAGGCTGTAACTGCAACCGAATACAACCATCATGTGCAAAAACCGCTGCTCTACCATTCAGCAATTTATAAAACCTCCAGACCAGAAGAAAAACAATAAAAATACAGAATTAAGTCCTGAGGACTTGCAAATAGGTAAACTAAGTGAAAATGAGTGCAGAGTAGCTATCATCAAAAAACTCAATGAGGTAGAGGGAAAGATAGAGAAACAAGTCAATGAGTTCTGGAGTTACTTCACAAAAGAGATTGAAATTATAAAGAAGAATCAAACAGAAATACTAGAGATGAAAAATATGATGGATAAGATGAAACAGAATACAGATTCCCTGAATGCCCATGTAGACACCATAGAGGAGAAAATTAGCATAATCGAAGATAGACAGGCTGAATGGCTCCAGACAGAAGAAGAAAGAGAACTAAGGATTAAAATGAATGAGGAAAGTATCAGAGAGATAGAAGATTCAATGAGGAGAACGAATTTAAGGATCATAGGAATTCCTGAGAACGTGGAAAAGGAAAATGGAGCAGAAAGTGTGCCTAAGGAAATTATAAAAGAGAACTTCTCAGATCTAGGGATTGAGGGAGAAATGGGTGTGGAGGAAGCTTTCAGATCTCCTAGATTTGTCAATGTAAAAAGACCTACTGCAAGGCACATAGTAGTAAAAATGGCAAAAATGAAAGACAAAGAAAGAATACACAGAGCAGCAAGACAGAAGAAAATAACCTACAAAGGAACTCCTATCAAACTTAAAGAGATTTCTCTACAGAAACCTTACAAGCTAGGAGAGAATGGAGTGACATATTCAAAACTTTAAAGGATAAAAATCTTCAGCCAAGAATACTCTATCCAGCAAAAATATCCGTCAGATATGAGGGAGAAATTAAATCTTTTCCAGGCAAACAAAAGTTAAGGGAATTTGTAACCAAAAGTCCCACACTACAAGAAATCCTCAAGAAGGCTCTCATACCTGAAAAAAGAAAAAAAAGGAGAAAGGGGTCACAAACCACAGAGTAGGGAGACAGATAGATAGAGCCAGAATAGGATAGCAAATATTCAACTATAGCATTAGGATAAAGGTAAGGAAACCACCAAAGTAAAGACGAGCTTATCACTCTGACTACAGACTCATAACACGAGTTGAAATAAGAGATGAAAATAATAATTTAGGAGGGGAAGGGAAAGGAACTTAATCAGTCTAGGCCAAGTAAGTAAGAGACCACCAGAGAATAGACTATACTATACATGAGATTCTAAATACAAACTTCATGGTAGCCACTAAACTAAAAAACAGAACAGAGACACAAAGCATAAATAAGGAAAAATCTAAGAAACCTAGCATAATAAATTGCAGATGTCAATGGGTAGGCTAAAACACACAGGAAGAGAAACAAAGGTAATGCAGGAAAACCAGATAACGAGTGACAGAATGACAGCATTAAGCCCACATGTATCAATAATCACCCTCAATGTAAACGGATTGAACTCTCCAATAAAAAGACACAGAGAGGCAAAATGAATTAAAGAACAAGATCCAACAATTTGTTGCCTCCAGGAAACACATCCTCAGCCCCAAGGACAAACACAGGCTCAGAGTGAAGGGGTGGAAGACAATATTTCATGCTAATAGCAAGCAAAAGAAAGCAGGTGTTGCAGTACTTATATCAGACAAAACGGATTTCAAAATAAGGCAGGTAAAGAGAGACAAAGAAGGGCAATATATAATGATCAAAGGGACACTGCATCAAGAAGAAATAACACTTATAAACATCTATGCACCCAACACAGGAGCACCAAAGTTCATAAAGCAACTATTAACAAACCTAAAAGAAGATATCAAAAATAACACAATAATAGTAGGGGAACCTAAACACCCCACTTGCATCAATGGACAAATCATCCAGACAGAAAATCAACAAGGAAATAGTGGAGCTAAACAAAAACCCAAAGCAATTGGACTTACTAGACATATACAGAACACTTCATCCAAAAGCTGCAGAATACACATTCTTCTCAAGCGCGCACAGAACATTCTCAAGGAAAGACCATATGTTGGGAAACAAGGCAAGCCTCTACAAATTTAAAAAAATTGGAATAATAACAAGCGTCTTCTCCGATCATAATGCTATAAGGCTAGAAATTAATTAAATGAAAAAAGCTGATAAAGGCACAAGGATGTGGAGACTAAGCAATACGCTACTGAACAAGCAATGGATCATTGAAGAAATTAAAGAATAAATTAAAAAATATCTGGAGACAAAGGAAAAAGATAACATGCCATACCAACTCATATGGCATACAGCAAAAGCCGTATTGAGGAAAACTCATTGCAATACAGACACATCTTAACAAACAAGAAAAATCCCAAATAAGCAATCTTAAACTAGACCTAACCGAATTAGAGAAAGAAGAACAAACAAAGCCCAAAGTCAACAGAAGGAGAGAAATATTAAAAATCAGAGCAGAAATAAATGCTATTGAAACGAAAAAGGCAGCAGAAAGGATCAATGAAACAAAGAGCTGGTTCTTTGAGAAGATAAATAAAATTGACAAACCCCAAGCCAGACTTACAAAGAAAACAAGGGAGAAAGCTCAAATAATCAAAGTCAGAAATGAAAGAGGAGAAATAACAACAGACTTCACAGAAATACAATGGATTATAAGAGAATACTATGAAAAATTATGTGCCAACAAAATGGATAACCTAGAGGAAATGGATAAATTCTTGGACTCCTACAATCTCCCAAAGCTCACTCAAGAAGAAGCACACAATTTGAACACACCAATCACAAGGAAAGAGACTGAAACAGCAATCAAAAACATCCCAAAGAATAAAACCCCAGGACCAGATGGCTTTCTTGGGGAATTCTACCAAACTTTCAGAGAGGATTTCATAACTATCCTTTTCAAGCTATTCGAAAAAATTAGGGAAGATGGAACACTTCCTACCACATTCTACGAGGCCAACATCACACTGATACCAAAGCCTGACAAGGTCACCACGCAAAAAGAGAACTACAGGCCAATATTGCTGATGAACATAGATGCACAAATTCTAAACAAAATTCTTCAACCAGAATTCAGCAATTCATCAAAAGGATCATACATCATGATCAAGTGGGATTCATACCAGGGACACAGGGATGGTTCAACGTCCACAAATCAATCAATGTGACACACCACATCAACAAACTGAGGAATAAAAACCACATGATCATCTCAATAGATGCAGAGAAAGCATTCAACAAGATCCAACAGCCATTTATGATAAAAACTCTGAACAAAATGGGGATAGAAGGAACTACCTCAACATATTAAAGGCCATATATGACAAACCCACAGCCAACATCATACTCAATGGGCAAAAACTGAGCGCCATCCCCCTGAAATAAGGAACGAGACAAGGATGCCCTCTATCACCACTCTTATTTAACATAGTACTGGAGGTCCTGGCCAGAGCAATCAGGCAAGAAAAAGGAATCAGATGAATCCAAATAGGGAGGGAAGAAGTGAAACTCTCACTGTTTGCAGATGACATGATCTTATATATAGAAAACCCCAAAGAATCCATTGGAAAACTCTTAGAAGTAATCAATAACTACAGCAAAGTTGCAGGGTATAAGATTAATTTACATAAATCAGTAGCATTTCCATGTGCTAATAACAAACTAACAGAAAAAGAACTCAAGAACACAATACCTTTCACAATCAATACAAAAAGAATAAAATCCCTCAGGGTGAATTTAACTA